TGGCTCATGCGAAAAGTAATTTCGGACTTAATTTTTAGACCAATATTAGCTTATTAGCTTCCTGTTTGATGAATGGCTAGTATGATTAAAAGAAGAGACAAATAAGTAAGCAAAGATTAATCTTTTTTTAGAGTGAAAATAGAAGCCTAAAATGTATGCTATAATTTGTATCGAGCTCTGTTTATCGAGAAGATTCTTTAAACTGTGCTTAAGGGGAGGTGAGTAATAGGATACTTAATATATGACACAACAGCAGCATCATCAAAAATGTCGATACTCGTTTACAAACTGAACTTTTGTCCTGTTGACTGATCTCTCAGAAGTTTGCACTAAGATAAAGTACAGAATATTTAAGCTGGATTAAATTATTTAGATTACGACAAAAGTCTTGACTCTAACCGCTTAACATGTTGACTGCCATACGAGTTTGTAAGAAAATCTTGTTTAGGCCACGAATACTGCTATAGCATGCGTCAATTGTTTCAGTTCACAGGAGTTTAAGGACGTCTAGAATGAAACATTTTGGAACTTGCATTCAGTTTAAAATCTTCATTACCTAATAAAGGATGTGAGATTAAAAAATTATTTCTTCTTTTCCAAATATTTTTTCTGTAGTGACAATTGGTTGGAATTTTTTTTTGTGTGTGTTAGAATTGTTGCCCCAACTTTTTGCATTGTCTAAAAGAAAAATGAAAGAGTAATTTTTAAGTAAATCATACAGCAGTGAAGAAGAAACCCGTTTCAAGGCTTACAGAAATTCGAGTACCAGGGATAATGAACAGTCGAGCTTTTTTAGAAACAAACAAAAGATAAACAAAATAACAACACAACAAGTAACAAGATAAACAAAATTACATCTCCAGATTCTGATTCGAACACTGTTAAATGCAGTGATAATAAATGTGGCGCAGATACCAATGATCATATATTTTACAAGACTTGGTTGTTTAGTCCGAAGAAAGCACAGTTGATACCGAAGAAAGGACAATTCAGGTTTAGTGAACGGAATGAATTTCCTTCGGCAACAATCATTTTCATTTCTATCTTTCAACAATATTTTTTTTCAAATACATACTTTACCACGTAAGTACTCAAAGAAATGTCCCCGAATACGGATGACGTGGCCTAATCACAATGTTTTCCGTCACCCAAATACTGGTGAAGCGGCTTAAACAGAATTTTTGCCGTCACCGGCTTGAACAGAATTTTTGCCATCATCCCAAACAGCAGGAAGAAAGCCTTTCTTGAGGGACTTTTTAGGGAAACCTGGTTGAAACTGACGTTAGATTTGGGGGGAACTTATGAAAACTATAATGCAGCTAGCCCGTTCGCTAGGATTCGAGCCTGAGACGACCTACAAATGCTCAGCGATGCCAATGGCCTTCCCAAATTAAAACTCAGTTGAATTCCCAAATTAAAATCGTTGACAGTAAAATGATTTTAAAGTAATTAAATTATGCATAAAGACACAAGAAGTTCTATTTTTTGATTTATTTGAACGACTTCCAGTGATCATCAGAATGAGCTTTCAAAAATTTTATCCGATGAAAAAAAAATGTAACTTTTTAATTTAATATATAACTAATTTTCAATCACCTGATTGTAATCAACATGGCCGGCGATTTAATTAATGATTTCAAAGCACATGACGCCAAGCATTAAGTGCCCTGGAAATTATTCATAAAGAACTTAATATCTCGTAATTGACCAACTTTCACGATAATTTGGATGGAAGATTTTTCTGTGTAGTTTCATTTGACAGTCTGCTGCTACTACTACTTTAAAAGAATATTTCAATCTTCGTTTTGATCTTAGTACTTTCAGAAAATAATATTTTATTGTACATTGTGAAAAAAAAAATCTGAAAGGTTTCAGATTTTAAATTACGTCCAAAGGGGCCTTTTTCTTAACGTTTTATGTGTAACCTTTATTTATTAAATAGCATGTTATACGTACTCAAAGTATAAAATTTCAGTTCAACATCCACTATCGTCAAAGTTAATTTTAAAATGAGCATATCTTAGAATTTCCGATACAGATCTCCCGTGGGATGGACATAAAATTTTCTTCTTGTACAAGTGTCCGTCTGCTCGTTTTGAAATCGTTTAGGTTTTTCAATCAATTTCGTATGAAAACATTCAAAATATATGGAAAGTCATAATAAAACAATTTCAAATTCAAATTATGCTTCCACGTGCCAATATCTATGGAATTACGTCATTCAAACTGGATGGCTCTAGGGTATAGTTGTTTTTAATCATACAATGCGAGAAACATAACATACATTAAAAATATGCAAATTCTACATTATAATTCTTTAATATAAAACAAGGCGATAATATATGGTGGCAAAACCGTTTGAAAGGATACAGCCTTTTAAAGTTTTCGGCGCATAGGAAAAGCGAATTTATGAGTCCTATGTGCAAATTGCCCTTTTGGACTAAAAACAAAATCTGATGTGTACCCACATACTTCCTTGTACGGAATACAAATATATAAGAATAAAGAAACCGAGATTACTGAGCCAAGTAACAGAGTGGGTGTATCTATCTCTCGCTATATATATATATATCCCTATGTACCTATACATACGACTCCCCCTTATATATAACTTTTGGTGCAACCCATTGCAACCAAATGAGTGCATAATCTACGTTAAGCAGTCTTATATATAAAATTTCAAAGTTCTGATCTATTAGTTTTGAGTATGAGATACGTATGTTACACACATACGTCCGAAAATTCTCTTCAGAATTCATTTTAAATTAATTTTTTTTTTTATAATTTTTTTTCGGGGAAAAGAGTCCTTCATTCTGTCTTAACTACGATTATGCAATATATCGTTAATTGCATTCGATAGCAGTCAAAATGAATTGTTGATTGAATTATTATGCCTGAAGTTTGTCTGCGTTATCTACGTCCTTTTTACTTCGTACAGGAGAAAAGGAGGAGCCTTCTATAGGTCCTCGCTCTAACCGACAGTGTGACGAAATTCAACTTGCGTTTTTCATGTCTCGAAAGTGCGACTTATGATATGTATTAGATTTATATATAGCATGTTCTAATATAGGTATTTTGATACAAACTCGGACTTTTTCTGAAATGACTTGCCAATTTCTTTCTTAGTTCGATTATACTACTCAAATTATGCCATAATGCCAAGTTTTGTAAAAATCGCACGAGAAGTCCCCCCGCAAAAAAATAGCTCTCAAAATTTTAGCTCCTCAAGTGTTAATTTAATTACTTTTTATGATTTAGTTTTAAAATTTGTATTTTTGAATTATTTTTATAAATTTTTCGAAAAACAATTTGAATCATAACCTATAAAATTTTTAACATCAACTTTAAGTAGATGTATTTCTAGGTACACCTGCAAAAATTAGTGATTTTTTTTTAAAACGTTCTAAGATATACATGAATTTACATGTTGGTGCGTTTTGAAATTTGGCACATTTGTTATAAGCAATAACAAATGTGCCAAATAATGTGGTTCACGCACTTAGTTAAAATTATTTGAAAATATGAACGATGACTTTTTTCCCTGGTCGTTTACAATGGTGGTGTTGGTGTTGGTGTGTTGAGTTATGGAAAAGCACACGAGGGCTATCTGCCTAAGGGGAGGAATGCCTTCGTGGAGGACTTTCTAAGGGAAACTGGCTCGTATACACGTTACACATGGGGAAAACCAAGAAAACGCCCATGCAGCCAGCCCGTTCGCGGGATTTGAACCTCGAACCGAACTACCAAAGGAAAATAGGTTGCTATAAATTAAGAATTCGCCAAGTGAATTACTCTTGGCGCGCACTGAAAAAAATGAGCCAATATAAATTTTTGAATTTCTCCCTAAATTTCGCACCAAATTTTATAAAATTTAATATTTAGCCATAATTTGAGTCGTAGAATCGAAATAGGGGAAAGCATTGGCATATAATTTCAGAAAAATCCGATTTTGTGTCGAAATACCTATGCTAGAACAACGCTATATATAAATCTAATATATATCCGAAGTAGGTCTTTCGAGACATGAAAAATGCAATTTGAATTTCTCCAATCGGCCCAGTAGAACGGGAGCTATAGAATTGTTCCATTTTTTTTTTAGCAGTGTACAATGTAGTCAATTATAAATAATGATTTTTTATAATGGATTAAATATGTCCATGGGGCAGTCTCAGCGATCGACGGGTAATAGAAATTGACTGCTAAAAAATGCGACAGTTAACAGAATTTCACTGCAGCTGCTCTAAAAATGTGATGTCCAAGTGAACTATCTAAGGAATAAAAGGTGCGTTAATTAATCATTAACGATAATGTAAATAACAAACTATATGCCACTGGTGACGTACGTTAACATACGATGAAACTTTTAAAGAGAATGGCTGGTTACGATACACATCGGATAAATTTTTAAAGAGAATGGCTGGTTACGTTACGCATCGGATAAATTTTTAAAGAGAATGGCTGGTTACGTTACGCATCGGAGGAATTTTTAAAGAGAATAGATGGTTACGTTACGCATCGGAGAAATACCTCCATAATTCCTCGTAAAGTACCTATTCCGCCGCGGGAACATGAATCTCGTACGAGCAAAGAATATGAATTCTAATCGTTTGTGAGTTATACGAGATACGTACGAACGTCAGAAAAAAATTCATTTTTAATTTTTTTACTATCCGTTTTAGAATAAAAAGTAACTTTACTCTCTGTACAAATTCGATATTTCCCCTGAAATATGATAACGGAAATTTTTCGCGGCTACAATACAATACTTCCTTTACAACGTACACAAAAGTAAAAAACTGCACATGAAAACTTATACTTTAGACTACTTATTTATTACATAGATATTTCTTTGTATAGAGAATTTAGTCTTGTTTTCAAGTAGTTTGAATTAAGATTGGCATTAAGATTTCATGTTTTAAAACCTATATTTTAAAGAATTATATATATATGGTACGGTATTGATTTTCATTTATATGAATGCAATTAATTAAGGAGCTTACATTCTAACTTGTCTTCTGGTCTTCCTCCTTCAAGCAAGGACAGGTAGCACACGATATCTTTAAGAGGCACCCGCAAGGAATAGACATCGACGTGGCTGCTTGCTTTTCGTAGAGGCTTCAGGTCCACTAAAAAGAAAACACATTAAAAAATTACAAATAGACTTAAAACAAAACTTCAAGTTTTATAATTAAGAATTTAATCAGAAACTCACTACAAGGAGAACGTTTCTGAACAAATTTGAAAAAATTTTAAAAAAATCTGAAAGGTTTGAGATTTTAAATTACGTATAAATTAACTTTAAGATTTTGTGTGTTACCTTTATTTACCAAATATCATGCTCTTTGCAATTAAACCATAAAATTCAGTTCAACAGCAATGGTCGCAAAATTATTTTAAAATGAGCATCTTTAGAATTTCCGTTACACAATTCTGCGCGCTGGAAATAAAATGTTTCTTTCTTTCGTTCTCCCTCTCTAGTGTTGCCATTGCTCGGTTTTTAATCGTTGATTGTTAATTCCAAATTCATTAAAGTTTTCAAAATATGAAATCGATAATAAAACAAATTCCAATTCAAATTTGGATTCCACAATGCCATATCGCAGTGATTACGTCATTCAAAATGATGGCTCTAGTCCGTTTTTTAATCCTGCGAGAACATAATAATTTCTCGATTTCATTATTTAATTCTCATATATAGGGCTATAATTTTGGTGGCAACGATTTAAAAAGTCGTTTCGAAACTAATGTCAAAGTCGTTTCGAAACTAATAGCCCTTCAGGGCTACCGTCCCGTTGGGCTAAAAGAGGAAGGACCGACAATATTTTGAGAAATTAACTTACATGTTTCTAAAAATATGCGTGAGCTGTTTGATTACAGTTTTTCTTCTATTTTTACCATCATAAATTATTTTCATACATTTCCTTCTACAATGTTATAAATTGGTAAGTGTATGTATTTGGGTAATGCTACAATTTCTTTAGACCCATTTTTTTAGTCTGTATTTATGTACTGTAAAGAATTTCTGCATACGGTATTACTCTCCACACGTATTATTTAGTTTTACATTTTGCAAATTAGTGAACAGATGTTTGTGTACTTTTTGTTTTATAAATTATTGCTGTAATTTGTTTGGCTATATTTTAATTGGGATTGGATTGGATTGGATTATGTAGCTATGGCAAAACATATTAGGGCTGTCTGCTTATAGATAGGGATGTCTTCGTGGAGGAATTCTAAGGGAAAATGGTTCTAATTAATTTTATGCACAGAGGAAATGACCGTAAATCCTGTTCGTTTGTAGAGATCTGAAGCCATATTTCATCTGAAAAATGTTGTGTGTATTTGTATGTATTTGGAAAACATTTTATGTACAGTAATCTCAAATGAATTATACGGTATTTCTCCCGCTTTTCTAGCGTGTCTTCAGGGTGTAGTGGTTCTGCACGCTGGGCCGGTATTCCAGAGGTCCGTGGTTCGATTCCCGGCGAAGGCATTGCTAAATTTTCATCTCTCCGGCCTCGAAAAATTATAATGTCTCTACAGAATATTTATAACGAAGGTTTTAAATATGAATTTTACAGATATGTGCTTCGTATGAAGGCTTAGTTGGGCAAATTTTATTTATATGTATATTTCTGCAAATAAGGGATTTTGAAACCTTTTGGAAGTGGGGATAGATTGGATCACAAGTTTTGAGACTGACAAAATATCATTAAATATAACGTCCAAGTGTCTCAAACCTTTGAAATAGTATCATCGGAATCAATAAAAATGGAATGAGCTCATCTGTAATCTATATAAAAACGGACGGAGCGAGCTATCTGCTACTCCTCTTCATTGAATACATTGAACGTAACACTTCCTTTAATGTTTCATCAAAACATCTGCTTCTCCAATGATCTGACTTTTATTAAAAGTATCAAGAAACAAATGTTCACTTATAATGTAATAAAACATATCTTTAATATAAATATTACAAATATGTTTATAATAAAACATATTTGTAATAAAATATATCTTTAATTCTAATCTTCTTCTAACCTTACATTTTATGAGATTGGATTTAAGTTTGATTATGATCTACAAATAAACGATATAAAAAAATTCTGAAAGGTTTCAGATTTTAAATTACGTCCGAAGGGGCGTTTTTTTTTAACGGTTTGTGTGTTACCTTTGTTTAAATATCATTTCTTCGCAATTAAACTAATTTCAGTTCAACAGCAATTCAAAAAATAGTTTTAAAATGCGGCGTATCTTTAGATTTTTCCTAATACAGAGTCTCGCGCGCTGGATTTTCCCCCTCACAGTGTTGGTATTGCTAGTTTGGAAATCAATGAATTTTTTTTTATTTTCAAAAATTCTTTTAAGTGTCCAATTTTTGGGGGGTTTATCGAATAAAACAAATTCAAATTACATTAAGGGGCTTCCACATGCCATATTCTAATGAGCGATTTGTTATCAAATTGTGATGGCTCGATACTAACCGTTGTTTTATCAGCATCGATAACATATATATATTTATGTCAGAGTCTTGCATTATTAATTTCTTAATAGAATACAGAGCGAAAATATATGGTGGCAACGATTTGAAAAGTGATACAGCCTTTTAAAGCTTTCGACGCAAAATGCCAAGATGAAATTAATAGTCCTTCAGGGCAAATTTCTCATTTGGACTAAAAATGATATATGTCTGAAGCACCTCGTCATAAAAATGATATATGTCTGAAGCGTCGAATCCGCTAAATGCAACTATCATTGGGCTATAACAATTAATACGTCTGCACATTTATTGTCCTGCTCACTAATAGTCATTATCACATCCTTGCGGGAGCTAGGGTTTGAATTACAATCACTAATGAAGGAAGTACTAGGTTAGTGCTATGATACAGCACTGCAATACGATATGCAATATGGTATTTGCAATATTGTACTGCAGTGCACTAGGTTGGATTATAGCGCTAACCTAGTGCATTGCAATACCATAATGCAGCACTGCAATGTACTAGGCTAGTGCCATAATGCAGCATTACAATGCTTCAATAAATCCGCTGCAATGTATTTAAAACCGAAATGCTCCTAGATGATACAACATCAAAATTCAGTTTTTAGTTGTGTAGTTGCTCTCTGATATCTTGCTAAATGTATTTGGATGGCTTTTAAATAATATACACTGAAGTGACAAAAGTCA